TTATGCCTGGATTTAGCAAGCCGGAAGGACCTACTTGCCTGCGTTTTCGGCGTTCCACGTCCTCGTACAAGAGTCCATCTCTGCGCACCTTTGCTTTCGCAATGGCTGCCTTGGCCATCGCTTTGCAACATTTGTAAGCAGCAGAATCCCCTGGCATTTGTGTTCTCTGCAAGTGTTTTACTGCGTAATTTTCCTGCTGCACGATCAGCATAATTGCTCGTTCTAGAACAACGCTGTCTGTTATCCTGGGTCCTGCTCACGTCATTCTTGTTCAGAGTTTCCTCTACACACCGTACGTTAACTTCAGTTACGTTGGTACAAGTTTAGTTGGATCAGTCCATGGGGAACTGTAGGCTTGTCTCATAGCCTCTTGTTCAGAGGCGGAGTTTCCGATTGAAAGGTAGCCCATTAGATTAGAGTAGAGGTGGTCAGTGGTGCCGGAAACAAGAAAAACCATGAGAAACGACTCAGAACCGAGAAATGGACCCCTTTTTTACGTTGATTTCTGCATTGATGCGACTCTCATCGGTGCTGCCCTCCTCAACGTTAACGCTCTTTCTGGGCTCGAAGCTCAGACAGCGAGCGGAGCGTAACGAGCCAATAGCGCCGCGGGTAGGGTCATGCTATGTCGCTGGCGGCATATCCTTGCAATTTGCGTTTGGTCGGCAACTTCAGAGGGTCTGCCTGTCTGTCTTTTCTCTGGGTGAAATCCCTTCTTTAACCTTCCACCTTATCGTGGAATCTTTTTGTAAAGTCGTCTTTCGTCGTCAGACCAGCTTCACCCGCCGAATTTTGTTCTCCGTTCTCAATCTTGCCTTTCCACGAAGCTTCATGACACTGTGCGCCAGGAATAGATTGTGCAAAGTCAGCTCTTCAACTTGTCCTCCTCATTTGAGCAACCGGCTTGCTATCAGAACAAGGAGCCTGATGTCCAGCACCCCTGCTTTGTGCAAATCCTTACAGCCACGATTCGAGCGTTAGTATTGTTCATAACGAAGTCGCTATCCTTAATGGACCCCACTGATGTGTACTAATGTGTGTTTGACAGCTTTTCCAATACCCTGGTTCGAGTAACTCTCCCCGTAAATATGTGTACATGGAGTTCCTCTATCGATAGGCCACCTCTCGAGACTTCTCGGTTAGCGACTCTACGTTCAGGGTCTCATCTCTAACTAGCTTCCTTGGGAGTGATCCAAATTAGTCCAAGGGTGCAGAAACGAGCTTCTACTCTGATGCGCTCAGCTAGCGCATACGTCTGTGGGCGTATGGAGCGGTACCCGGCGGGGGGGGCTTGCAAAACCCTGCATTTCTACTACGGTTCGTAACGCGTTAGCCATGGTCTAGATTAGAAATATGCATTCCAGAAATGCCTATTTTTTGGGAGCCCAGCTCCGATCGGGTGCTGCTGTATACAGCCCTTCAGAAACTGTGGCAAAGATGGACACGATTATTCCAGAATGAAATGTCATTTCTTAATATATATTTTACTTCTCTCTTCTTCTTCTTCTCCCTAGCGTTAGTCCCGCGCAGTCGCAGGGTCCGCTGTCCTTATCAGTCGTCGCCACTTGTCTGTCCAGGGCATCTCCTGCTGTGGCCATGATTTCACCTAGGTCCTTCTTGATACATCCTTCCACCTCTTCTTTGGGGCTCCTCGCGGTCGCTTGCCTTGCGCTTCGAAGTCCATCGCTTCCTTATCGGATGGTCCTGTGGCCTCCTTAGCACGTGCCCATACCATCGCAGACGCTGTTCCCGTCACCTTCAGCTGGACAGGGGCAGTCTGCATGACCGCTCTGACATCCTCGTTTCTGACCCTGTCCAGTCGCGTCCAGCAGGCCCATCTCAGCATCCTCATCTCAGCGGAGTGAAGCTGCCTTTCGTGATTCTTGTTCAGGGGCCAGCACTCGCTGCCGTATAGCATCGCAGGCCTTACCACTGCCCGGTACACCTTTCCTTTGAGCGTTCTGGAGCACCTTCGATCGCAGAGGATTCCACTCCCTCCATTTCATCCAGGCCGCGTTGATTCGTGCCTTTACTGCCTGATCCACACTTCCGTCGGCTGCCAGATCGCTCCCAAGGTATCGGAAGTCCTCCACTCTTTCGATGCTTTCACCATGCCGTCCACGATCGGCTCTGCACCCTCTTCAGAGCTCAGGAACTTGGTCTTCTTGACATTCAGCCGTAGCCCACCTTCTGCCAGGACTTTCTGCCATTCCTCACACCTTGATTTATAAGCTCAGGAGGTTAGGGTAGTATACCGTATATTAAACGGTGCGCGTCAATTAGTGTGTCTTGTTAGTCGGCTGCACACATTCCCCTCTACTACACGTCGAGGTCCCCGAGTATCTTTTTTTCTCGTACTCGGACTTCTTTGTTGAAGTTTTGATTGAAATTTGGGCACTGGAAATGACACTGGTCAACTATTACGCCCCGAAATCTCAAAATTTCATTCATTGTCGAGATTTGACACACAGAGGTGATCGACGCCCCGAATTCAAAATGCCAAGTTTTTGGCGTTGACGACGACGGTGCCTATTTCTGTGGTGATCGATGATTGCAGAAAATCCAAAGAGTGAAAAGGATGGGAAATTGCTTAGGAAGAAACAATAAATGATGAACAGTTGAATCTGACCGAACACTTACGAGGCACAGCCCGCCAGTTTCAGAATTACTTGGTGTCTTATGTAACGAAGAGCTACAGAACAAGCATGAAGGTTCAAAATAAGTCGCAAACATGACCTGTTTCCGTTTCCCAATTAACGCATTTGAAGCAAAGTCTGCAGACTACGTTGCGAATCAGCAACCTGTGAGCAACAAAATGACCCACATGTCGTTAACATACAACTCAGCAAATATATATGGAACCAGAGGTACCAGTTTCGACGGCCTATTTAGTTACGTCGTTTTCATGCCTGAGGCGATGTTCTAGCCTTCTCTTGATTCCTTAATGTTGGAGAACCACGAGCAGTGAGGTTTTTTTCCCCTTTGTTGTTTTCCACAGTTGTGTGCTGCTAAATTTTTTGCCTTTTTGCTCTATTCATACTGAAAACGTCGCTGAATTTGATATATGTTGTGTACGCTTGTATGTTGAAAACTTCAGTTCTAAAGCGGATCTTGAACTGCTAGAAAAAAGAAACGTATGTTCATAGCCGTCCTCGCAAACATTTCAATGCAAGCCACCAGAAACCGTCCAACTTTGTGTTAATTCCAGGAAATTTGATGTTAGTTCTCTTGTTGACTACTTTTGTTAAGTTTTCAACTTCTTTTCACTTTCGTGTTCGCCAACGATGTAAGTACGGTGAAACGTTGTCAACATAGGAAGTAAGAACGTTTTCGCGTAAACAGGCCATAGGATTACTATTCTAGCAAAGTTTCGACGCTAACAGCTGAAATCTCCCAAATTTCAATCAAATCTTCAGAAAACAAGTTCAAGTAGGGATTACTAATGGGTGAGTTGAGGAATTCGAAGTGCACGACGTGTAGTAGAGGGGAATGTGTGCAGCCGACCAACAACACACACTAATTGACGCGCACAGTTTAATATACGGTATGCTACCCTAACCTCCTGAGCTTATAATCTTGTGTGCTGCACCTTGGTTGAAGTTCCTCTCTGCTATCCGCTATCAGGGCGAAGTCGTCAGCGTAGAGGCATGGCCTTCAGTGGCCCCTCCATAAGCCCCTTCACCAGGGCATCTAGTGTTCAGGAGGCAGAGGAACGGGCTCAGAGCTGACCCATCCTTGATGCACGTAACCCTCCATGGTAGGCGTGGGAATGCCGTTGGCCGCCTGACCTATTCACGTTACGCGTTCCCTGAGCGCTCTCCATAGTACCGCTCGTGGTAGCCGGTCGAACGCCTTCTCCAGGTCGAGGAAGGCTAGGTAGCAGGGTCGGCGCTTTTCTCGATACTTCTCCATCACTTGCCTTGCGATGAAGATGGCATCCGTTGTAGACCTTTCGGGCATGAACCCGAACTGTTCCTGGGAGATCGGGACCAGCTCCCGCAGTTTCGAGTCGACCAGTCGCTCGTACAGCTTCATTGTATGAGCAGTCAACTTGATCCCGCGGTAGTTGGAGCAGTCCATCGCGTCACCCTTCTGCTTGAAGATGGGGACGATAGTGCTTGTTCTCCAGGCATCCGGCATCCTTCCTTCCGCAGTTGATTCGCAATGTCATGAAGGATGTAAACTTTGTCGCAGTGCGAGCCCATTTGACGAGCTCTCTCGGCTAACTTCTGAAGTTACCGCAAGCCTAAGTCATGTTGCTCCACTACGGTGGGGCCTAGACGCGAAGATGTGATAGGCTCGAGCGCTTCTGAGTACTCGAGCTTCCGTGTCAACCCTACCTGTAATAAAGAGTGCGAGGCGCTGCTAGTCTCTTCATCGAAAGTTCCAAAGCGTTGGCTCATGTGATACACGCTATAGCAGTAAACATTCTCGTTGAAACTGTACCAGATAGTGTTGGACGTTGATATGAATTCATAGTTATGGAGGAATTTGTAAAAGACAACGACTCTGAACAGAGAGGCTAGTGGTCAAGGTTTTTGAATTTTCTTGGATATAACTACTGACTGCAGCACTTATATCCACCTCGTGGATTGAAGCCTTGAGAATGCTCTACCATTTGGTAGTCATAAATGTTACCTATGAATTTTTCAGAGAAAAAAAAAAAATTATAAGAAGAGTGTTGCAGAACTTTCTTTCTGATTCTTTCCTGCTCATTTTCTACAGTGTGGTTAGTTTGAACAGCGGCGATGAGCAGGTTCATTTTCGTTTCTCGAACGGGTGCTCGACAGTTCACCGGCATATCTGCGCAACTAAATCCGACGTTCTCAAATAGAAGGACTTCAGGAGAGTCCCTCGAGTTTGGAAATATTGTGCCGAAGTGAGTATAGGAGACGGTACAGCGTAAGTCATGAATAACGTCGCTAGTGAAATGTTGCGAATTTCTACCATCTTCCCATAATTCACAGATAATGTAATGCTGAAGTTTCTAATAATACCTTCAACGTAATGCTTTGGATCGCCACTCCTCCAGTATTTTGAGCTTGGCACTCGTACGGACCAGCGTCTGCCTGAGAGGTTCGAAAAATTTGAAGGGTTCCATTATGGTGAATCATCTGAAAAACAGGCTTCAGTGCCGACTAAATTGAAATTTACAAAAGGAGCAAAATTTTTACCGTATTCGCATCGTTGACTAAGATGACACCAAAACGTGACCACCTGATCTCCACATCGCTCGATGATTGAGCCTGACAGTGGAGGAATGCAGGAGCACCAAGAGCAGTTGAAAAATTAGTGCGACCAGTGAAAACAGGTGGTGATTCTGCAATGAGAGCTGACACTGAATGAATAAAAGGGCATAAATGAAAAAAGAAGTACAAATATGCTCGTACACAACCACGCATATGTGAGTTACATGTATTACACAGATAATGGCAGTCCATGAAAAGGTTGCACTACCATTCATAGATCATAGTGCTATTTGAACGGAGGTCATGATCATCGGATGTACAAAACCTTAACGTGGGTGCAGCAGTAATGCTAACATCCACTGCCAACAGAATAGCTTGAACATCAACAGCAACACTCGCACACACACAAACTCGTGCAGAAGCTATTACTCCAATTCCCATGCATGCCAGCTAATGGAATCTGTCTCGAGAAACCTCCAACTGAATGGTTTACTGTGGGCCAATGGAAGGACCTTCAGGATGATTGATTCCAAAGCTATATGCTGCAACCACTTGTGGATTCGAGGGATGGGCTTAGACTTCTGTTCGTGTTCAGCAAATTTGCAAATTTTGGCGTACAATGCACAGAGAACCCTTTTCTCCACACACGACGTTAACTTTGTCCTCAACGGAATAACGGTAAACTCAGAGGCCTGAACTCGCACAGCATGGGTGTACAGCAAGTGTTATCCAAAGCGTTGCGAAGGCCGCACGAATGGCAGTTCCAGATCTTCGCAAATTATGGAAGATCAAATTGTCCTAACATATCGTAAGGTTCAGCAATGACTGCTGAGCCAATATGACACTAGTGAGCTATTTTGGGACGTCGAATGACTACAACGATCACCAACGGGATGCATAGATTCCCTGATGGAGGTTCTGCACTAAACAAAAGAAAAAGTATCCTTGCTCCTTCCCGCGAGACTCAACCCAGTTATTGAAATGGGCAGGTGAACCTGTGCTCATTTCAGTACCCGGGGATATCATTTTCTCACGATACGGCGCTTATCGCAGTCGGATAGTAATCAAGGTTCCTCCCAGTGATATCTCCTAGTCATATCTCCTACCTCTCGTAGCATCCTTGAGAAATTTGTTCGTTATGAAGTCACCCCGACAAATTCCAGCGGAGCTGACACTTTGACAATTCCTGCGTCTCTTTTGCTAGGATTTCCCTTTTACGGAAGTGTGACAGCGGTTTTGCCTTTGCTATAAGCTAAGGAACTTGAATGGATAATAATCCAAATTTTGATTTCGAAAAAAATGAGGATAAAAAATTGTTGCTTTCTCAAACTGGATTTCCGTGTTAATATTCAGATTCGCGTTTATATGTGTCACAATTTATCTGTAGAGCCTTTTCCAAAAACATCCCCAGATTCAAGTTTTTGGGAAATTTGTAGGTGGAACTAAATTATGCGTATGCGCAGTGGCCGCAGTGCACGTCCGCTCCTTCACGGCGAATCCCTCAGTAGATGGAAAGATTGACGAAGAACTTGTAATCATGTCGTTCGTCGATATTAATGACGATAAATAGCTGTCCAGTTTCAAGTAGAGTCAAAAACCCGATTTTGTTTTGAAACGTAGAAGCTTTCCGGCAAAGAAATAACTACTCCTCTTCCATTCAGATAAAGGAATCCTTCTCGGGAAAACCGTGACCTATAATTCACTGGCTTGAGACCATCGTTCACGATAAGGACGAAAAAGAAGGAAAGACAACAAAAATTGCATATGTTTTGGCAAAAAAATTCGAAAAATCGAAAGGGCTGCTACGCGTTCAAAGTACCGCCGGACATCTGTCACAAATGCTGGCGACGGGAATGCTTCCACTTGGTTCTTGGAGTGCCTTCACTAGAAACTCTTTCTGGCCTTTTGACTTATTGCATTCACATCTCACACTTCTACTGCATCCTATTCTATCGATCGATTTGTCTCTACTCTCCAAAATCGCACGCTTTAACCCGATTCTTTCATTGCGTCGCCCAAGGCAACTTCTTTCCATGCCCCGCCTTTGGCTCCGCCCATTACCTTCGATTGTCCATAGAGTGTGGTTTTTGTAAGTTTGTTTCTCTTCGGAAACCGAATCTTCATGCGTGAAACTTTGTATGTTGTCTCTAGTGATCACAACTGACATATTCGTGTTGGAAAGAATGCAAGATTTTCCGGGAAGGATTCCTTTAAGAATCACAAAATAGCTAAAACAGCCTTTTGAAGCACGGGAATAAACCGATGATTGGCTGCCCTGGAATCTCGATTCCAGTGTGCCACGGAGGCTATTTGATGCTGCACTTGAAAAGGAGGAACTGCAGATTTTAACTCGGTTACGTGTGCCACCAACATAACAAGTTTATCTTTCTCGGGCGACCTTCAAGCAGGGTCAACCGTTACGTTGGACCGATATTGGAGCGACGTTGGACCGATGTTCACCGCTCTCCGCGCCGGCATTCACTCTCGCCACCCGCGAGCCGTCTGTGTCTCCGTGCGTACGTTCACTCTCGGCATTACTCTCGTCGTCGCGTTGGACTTTGTCCAACGGACGGTTGACCCTGCTTATAATCTGAAATGGCGCAAAACGAAAAAAAAAACACTATAAAAGAAGCTAGCAGAAAAAGCTTCTTCTGTCAAGGCGATGCAGCGATCATATATGGTGAGGAATTAGGTGACGATACTAGAAAAATTACTGGTTGGCTGCTTACTCCGGAAAGGCGAAATTTGAGGGTAACCTTACAATTGTGAAACGCACTAAATGAAGCAGAAGATGCTAGAACTTGCCTTTTACATCCAAAAATGTTTTCACTGAGTGATTACCATTGTCACTCACAACGAAGCATTGGTATTCTCCACGGTCCATGTTTGTTACCTCTGGTATGTGCCAAACTGCGGTGTCGGTAACCCTGAAAACAAAATGTTGTATTTCTTGAGCGGCTGCTGAACAGTGGGTCGCCAAGAGCTCACCGATAGAACAAAGGACCTCCTATACGATGGTTGTTTTTCATCCAAAAAAGAGTAAATGGCGAGGTACTCTCGATAGTGCAGGTAATATTAACATCCTATAAATAACTAAACGTTATGGTCTCGAAGCAGTAGAATGAGGTCCCAAAGAGCCGCACTTGCATCCACAGCTGGTACTACGTTATGTGTGGGCGGGAGGGAGGAAAAAAAGTCATCTCCTCCATGGCGCAAAACACCCAAGCTTCCGTTGCAGAGGGTGCCGTTTAGAAAGTTTCATGGCAACATTTCTTATATTTCTCCCCATGAGGTCGGGCCCTCCTTCACTGCCCTCATCATCATCTTCAGAAATGACGGTCACCTGTAATCACATAGCCGCCAAGCTGCTTAAACGTAATTACCCCAGAGCTCTAAGAGCAAGTCTTCAGATCGAGTACAGTATTAATAGAATAGTTGCCTCAGACATGAGCTCTGACTGTGCTCTTCTTCCCAACCGCGTTTTAAAGAAACGCATCAGCAGAGTCAACCCTGCGTTGCGCAGTTTCTCAACGGCCACGTTGCGCAGTTTCGCCCGATTAGACACGTTCTCTCGCGCGAACATTCACACTCGCATGCTCGAGCCGTCTGTGTCTCCGCCCATACAGCGTGCGTTGAGGATCTCTCAACGTGCCGTTGAGAACTGCGCAACGCACGGTTGACTGCTGATTGATAGTCCACCGTCCGTCGAGGATCTTGCTGAGCTAGAAGCGCACCATATTTCCGTGGCGAATTCTTCGGATGTTGTAGAGGGCCACCATTAAGTTACAATCCTCACGATAAGCTGAGACATCCGATTTAATTTAGAGATGGTATTCAATCAAAAATTATAAATGTGACAGGGAGGTACATTTCTGCTCCCCCTCCCGCCTCTGTCATTTCTTTGACGTATGCAAAAATCAATGCACATTAAGTTTTGATGAAATTCCTGATATTGGAGTCTACCCTCGACGTAATGAAAGCTAAAATCAGCTCGACAAACGGATTGATCACTTCCTTGATAATAACCAGTGGATCGTTCCATTTACTCACTATCTGAGCGTGCACTTCTTTAGTGTTTGTTAGAACAACCATTCAGAATTTATTCCCACATGTGTTCTACGTACTGGAATAGAACAAGTGAACTGGAACCATCACTCGAGAGGTCTCAGTGTTAGGCCGATGTCAGACTTTGCGAATCGCGTGATTCGCTAGCGTCTGCGGTCGCGTCTCGGAGATCTCATGTGGTACCAAACTAGGTTTTTGGTCTCACTTGGGGATGCGGACATATTTAGCTTGCATCATACAATATGATAGAGGGCAATGATAAATATATACAATGTCATACATAACAGTGAGATTACCGTTGCAGCCATTGCATTTGTAGTTGGGTTCATATACGCCCGTGGCCCGCCGACAGCTACCGTGCCAATAGCAGTGGGCGCAATTCGTTGAAATTTGTAGCCCTAAATCACTTCTTTGATAATGAAGTATAACGTAGTTTAGGAAGTGTTAACCGCTGACTCACGCTATGATCTAGCCCATTGATTTGCACGAAGAATAAGTTGCTGGGAGGAAAGAAAGGCCCAACAAAGTACATTTGATGGGTGTCTCTTCTGAGAGTAGCGTTGGAGATGTAGATTGAGTTCCCTGTCAAATACACAATCATAGTAACGGCAATATCCCAAAGCAGCCAAATCAAATTCCATTTTAACGAGCAGGGGCTCTCAGTTATTCCGCATAATGCTGCACAAAAATCCAGGAGTACCCTGAAGCTCCCCTCAGCTGAAGAGAATACCGACCGAAGATGTGTTTTGTACTTCTTGATCCATGCCTCACCCATCCCAAACTTGTCTCGGACTCTGTGGGTGGTTCTCAGGTAGTACTGAATTTCGTGACAGACCGACAAACAGAAACACACAGACAAACAGACAGACTTGGCGCATTTATACCCACATTTTGCTTACGTTCTGTGGGTGTCTATAGTCTCTTCTGTAAAGTTGATTTTTCACTTCCGATGACCTCTTGCGAATCACCATGCTAAATTACACGACTCACTGTTCGACCGTCATCTCATAGTGTGCCTAACATTCAATTTGGGCCTAATTCCTCCGCAGATGTGTCGGACACAGGGTCAAGCGTGCGTTGAGGAATCCTCGACACGTCACAGGGGGGGGGTCGTATTGGCCCGCTGGGGAAGAGATCGGGCCGATTGATGCAGTAGGATCATCGTCGGAGGACAAACATCAATTTCAATAGTAAATAAGCTGCTCCACGGTCAACGCCAAAGTCCAGTCAACACACAGCTGGCGAAGGCGGTTACAAGGCTTCTTTCAACTGAAGGGGACGTGTAAATTGAGAACCATATCTGTGTAGTACTAGAATTGGTGCTATCTTAGTTGGGGAGGGGGACCACGCGGCGGCGCGGCGCTCTGTTCGTCTGCTCCTCCAAAGGCTTAGTCCCAGGGGCAGTTACTATTTCGCCATCACGTGGCAGTTTCGAAATACGCGCCATCGAGGACTAAGCCTTGAGGAGGAGACGAACAGAGCGCCGCGCCGCCGCGTGGTCCCCCCCCCCCCCAACTAAGATTTAGTCTTTAGTTCCTCCCGTGCTGGAGAGCACATCGGGCGACGAATTCTTTCCACTGTTGCCGGTCTTGTGCAATCATTTCTCCTTCATTCCTAGAAACATTCATGATCTTGAAATCATTCTCGAACGTTCGTCTCCACGTGTTTCTGGGACGGCCTCTTCCTCGCTTGGCGCCTGGAGGTATCCAGTTCATGGCCACCCTTGGAACTCGTTGTTGTGTCATGCGCAAAATATGGCCAGCCAGTCGAAGCCTACGCTGTGCCACAATCACGTGGAGGCAATTCGAGCCACAACGGCGTAAAACTTCCTCATTGGTGACGTGATCCATGTAGCGTATTTTCATAATCCGGCGTAGACATCTCTGGTGAAAGGCATTCATCCTCTTTACAATGCTAGCAGTACTTTTCCAAGTTTCACTTGCATATAGTGCAGTAGGAATCACGATGGAGTAGTACAACCGCATTTTGATCTTCTGCGATATCGATGAACTGGCCCATATTGGCTGAAGTCGCCGGAAGACGGCGGCAGCCTTCGCGATCCGAATGCGTACGTCAGTTTCGGCATCACCATTGTGAGTGACCGTACTTCCGAGGTAAGTGAAATTGTCAACGGTCTCTAGTATCATATCATCAACATTGATGCTTAATTGCGTTCGATCAAAGCCGATCTTCATGACTTTTGATTTTTGGGCGCTAATGCGCAATCCAATCATATTCGCTTCGCTACTGAGGCAAGTAGTAATCTGCTGGAGTTCATTTTCATCTTCGGCTAGAAGTGCTATATCGTCGGCAAAATCCAAATCCGTGAGTCTATTCTGATTAGACCAACTGATGCCTGCCCTCACTTTCTCCATCGTTTTCCTCATTACGAAGTCTAAGCAGATATTGAACAGAATCGGAGATAGAATACATCCTTGCCGCACTCCCGTGGCAATCTGAAAGAACGACGTATATCCTGTGTCCGTCCTCACACAGCAAGACGAGTTGAGATATAGTTCTTGAATATGTTGATGAAGGGTTGCGGTACACCATACGTTCTCAGAAATAGCCCATAACGATTCCCGATGAATGCTATCGAAAGCCTTCTTGAAATCGATAAAGTTGATGACGATTGGCTGGCAGTACTCGACACACTGTTCGATAATGTTGCGTAGCGTGAAGATTTGTTCACAGCACGACCTCCCACTCCTGAATCCTGCTTGTTCCTCTCTCAATCGCTCATCGACGGCTGCACGGAGTCGGCGAAGTAGAACAACACAGAAGGTTTTGCCGGGTACAGACAACAGTGTGATACCCCTCCAATTTCCACAATCCGAGAGATTTCCTTTTTAGGCAGTTTGACAATGACACCTTTTCTCCAGTCTTCCGGGACTTCTCCACGGCTCCAACAATGATTAAATAGTTTCACGAGTCTTTCTACTATTGCACTGCCTCCTGCCTTTAACAACTCTGCTGTAATTTCGTCCAGACCAGGAGACTTTCTATTCCGGAGGCACTCAATTGCTGCAACTACTTCTTCTGTCAATATGCATCCAGTATTAACCTCAAGCTCTTCGATTGGTTCCGTGTCATCGAAGCAGTAGGTTCTCGGCGGATTGGGCTGATTGAGTATATCTCGAAAGTATTCGAGCCATCTTTCATTCTGTTCTTCTCCGCTCGAAAGAAGCCTGCCGTTTCTATCTCTGATCGGCTAGCATTTGAATTATTCCACTTCGTATAAATATCTCGACAAAACGATATAAGTATAGCAGAACAAGATATTGTAGTACTAGAATTTGGTAAGTCTTGTGGAGGAAATAAATAAAGAAGAGATGTTGTCATAGTATGCCATTTTTAGTGACTAGTTTGTCGTTTTTTGCTCCTTTTCTCGTTTTCTTTCTTGGATTTTACACACAAAACATGGCGTCCTATACGTTTTGGCCACCCTGCATATTAATGATTGATAGGGTTCGTGCTTGAAATAAAGCAAGTTGAGAAAGAAGTCCAAAGTACGCCGAACTTTTGGGACAGCCTTAGGATTTCCCGATTTCGGTGGATGTTATTACAGTAATAAACAGCCACAATTTTCAAGTGATACTCCGGTGCGTGACATGTCTCGAAGCCAGCGCGTTGCAACAGAAATCAGATTCTTCATGCGCCCTCCCCACAAGGTGTGCAAAGCAGTAACGATTCTAGTCTCTGAGGGAGTGAGTTTTATTTGAAAATTTTTCTGAACACTTCCCTTAACCTTGATCAGGCCTCTTCTTGAAGGCGCTTGACAATCATTATGCCAGCTATTAGGCAATTCAATCAAGAAGATGCCCTTGTCAACCCCGCCATGAGGTTTTCCGGGTGGTGATGCAGCGATCATTGGGGAGTGATGAAAGATGGCCAAGCGTACCGAAGTAGTCTAGTAAAGCGATCTTGTTGACCATGCCGGGTGGTAGCACTCCAGTCATATTCACCAGAAGATATGTATTCTGATTGGAAACAGGCCTCGGTTGTGCCTGAAAATGTGAGTGTTGCTCATTAACGGAATTGCCTAAACAAAATGGGTGTTCTCGGCGCATTAATACCGTACCAGTTCAATTCGCTCCAATGGCCTTGTGGCAAATCCAAACTTGAAATCTATACTGCCGTGTCCAAAAATCCGAATAGTGTGCTTCAGCCGAGAGTTGGTTGTGACCTACACACAAGCTGTCATACAAATTACCAACATTTTTCATGCACGTACTTCTATGAATTCCTGAACGTAACCTGCCATAGTCCAGGCTGTGGATTTGGAATTCTGATCAGCTTCACGTTCTTGAGATCAATAGTTCCTCCTTCTTGAGTATAGACGTGTTTCTTCAGTGTTTGCCCTAAAAAAGCCCAATCGTTGAACGAACCTACAAAATTTTGCACGTCTATGACTCCACTCTTGAAACTCATTTGCACTATAAGTTGGGCTCGAAGCACTACTGCGGAGTACCAGTTATGGAGCACTACCAGAGATCCATTCTACACTCTCAGGATGTCTTGAACGAGCTCTAATAAGTTGCTCCCATAAACTGTTTATTAACTAAAGAAGATTCGATGGAGAGGCGAAAACCTTGTTTCTGAATTGTTAACCGCTCCAAATGTCTACTAGTAACTGATGAAAATATGCTCATTTAGACAAATTTGCTGAAAGACTGATATGACTATCACTATATGGATATGACTAGGTTGAAGAAAAGCGAAATATATTCTGGTGTGAGACTTCGTCAGTATAAGGGCTCCTGGGTGAAATTTGAGTAAAGGAGAATATAGTCGTTAAGCATTGAGTTGATGGGCTGATGAACACCCCAGTCACACCAATCATGTCTGAAGTCGAAAAAGAATCAGTGTTAAATGCTAGGACGTCACCCGGAAGTGGCGCCCCCGCCCGAGTTCTGTGGTCAGTATGCGAGGGCTACCGAGGAGTGAACGGCCTCGGCCAAAGAAGCTAGTTCGAATTGGGACTCTGAACGTGGGATCGCTAACTGGAAGTCCCGAGAGGTTGCTGATCTGATGACGCGCAGGAATATCCAAGTCCTATGCCTTCAGGAGACGCGATGGAAAGGTGCTAAGGCCAGGGAAATCGGGGAAGGTGTCAAGCTCTACTACAATGGAGAAGACACCAAGCGGAACGGTGTGGCCATAGCGGTAGCGGAGTCGCTCAAGGACTATGTCTCCGCTGTGAACAGGATCAGCGATCGGATCATGGCATGGACACGAAGGAGAAGGTACTGGACAATACTCTCCGTGTACGCACCGCAAGCCGGTTGCCCCGAAAATGAGAAGGACGAGTTCTATCTAAGCCTGGACGAGGCCATAAGATCGGTTCCGGAAGGTGATTACCTGACCATAGCAGGTGATCTGAATGGTCACGTCGGCAGTGACAGAAGACAG